ATCTACACGGTGTCAGTCTTCCTGCCTGCTGCCTACATCATTGGACTGATATTTACCCTGAAGACACACTCACACATTTACGACATCCATGTCGGAGGAGGACAGGGTGAGGTTCAAGCATCACTCCCACTGAACAGTAGTTTCATGGTGACTGTTCAGGTTAAAAATTATGAATAAACGCAGCTTCAGTAATGTTTCAAAACAGCAGATTTTAAGCACATTTCTACCAGGATTTAATTCAATTCAGTTTATTTTTATAGTGCCAATTCACAACACGTTATCTCAAGGCACTTTACAGTTCACCAGATCATACAGTCAGACTGATTCAAAGTTTTCTATCTAAGGAAAACCAGTTGATGCATCAACTCATTGACTTGAATGCAATCCCTCACACTAAGCATGCTTGTAGCGACAGTGGAGAGGAAAAACTCCCTTTTAACAGGAAGAAACCTTTAGCAGAACCAGGCTCAGTGTGAGTGGCCATCTGCCGAGGCCGACTGGGGTTCAAGGAGTCAGAAGCAGAGACACAAAAAGCAGCTGTGAAAGTGGACTGGTCCAGGAAACACAAAGCCAGGCAGACAAGCTCTGAGCCAACTCCCATGTCAGAGGAGGAAGTTTAGAAAGAATGTTTGTAACCGTGATGTGAGACCGCTGTGGGAATGGTGGGAATCACTGGAGGGAATGACTGGAGGTCCTGTCTCCAAGTTGCAGCTGCCTGGCTGAATTTGAAGTAGGTCCTCATTACTTCATATCCTGCCCAGTTTACTCGGTGCATAGACCTCCCACCTCTGTGCTTGACAGAAATACAGCCATTCTAAGTTTGCACCTTGAAATATTAGTCAAATTTTATGCTGGTTAGATTCGACCTACCTTCAGTCTGTGGTGATGGTAAACTCACCTCCTTGGGGACGGTGACGCTGGTTTTGAGCGTGTTCTGGAGTTTTTCCTTGGACGTTTTAGTGTTACCAAGCCGCTCCTCCAATAAATGTCATGGGGAAGGATATAAAAAGGTAAAAAAGTTTCTGTAAGATCCTGACCACAACAGTACTCAATCATATAATCATTACTACCTGGACAAAAAAATTGTAAAAAAAAAAAAAATCAGATCAATAATTAGTCTGGCATGAGCTTTTATTAGTTTACCATTAAAGCCTGATGATCTCACCTGTCATATTTACTCCTTGATTTCTGCCTGTGTGCAGAAACCGGCCACCATGGGACGGTTGTCCACTGGTCACGGTGGAGGTCTCTTCTTATCCTCATCGTGGCCACCGTCCTCATGTCTGCCTGTGCCGACCTCGCCACTGAGCACATCCAGCCCATTCTTAACCAGCCCAACATCTCTCAGGTTGGTGCATCTCTCTGAACATCCAACTCATTCCTGTTGCTTTGTTTACCCTTTCTACATCTTCCTTCCCCCAGTACTTCATTGGGGTGACGGTTCTGGCAATGGTCCCCGAGATCCCAGAGATTGTTAACGGGATCCAGTTTGCACTCCAAAACAACATCAGTTTAAGGTAACCACAGTCCTACTAGAGATGAGAAGTTAAACACAGATTTCTGTCTCTGAAATTAGCTTTTCTTCATTCCCCCAGTTTAGAGGTTGGAAGCTGCATAGCTGTGCAAGTCTGCATGCTACAGATTCCAATACTGGTCCTTTTTAATGCCTTCTGTGTAAGAAAATCCTCTCACTCTCCTTAGTTAATATATGAAAGAAAATGTTTGATGATTGACATTTTGCATGATAAGAACCTATTTTTTTTCTTTTTTTTAAACAGGATGTGGGGTTTGTGCTGCTCTTTAGCGACCAGCACATGTGGGCCAGCATCTTCAGCGTCATTTTAGTGAACTACATTTTTATGGACGGCAAGTCAGATTATTTTCAGGGTAAGTCTAAAGCAATTCAATCTTTTAAAAAAAGATACTAAGAGTTGATGACATTCTGGAATAAGACATCCATATTTCAGAATCAGTCCTTAAATGTTGGACTTAATATTTCGGGACAACCCCCATGCAGCTGATCCAAAAATCCCATTTATGAAAATTATTCAGACTTGCATGTTATTTAAAGCATGTTTTTAGTTTCCACTTTTCTTCATTGAATGGGAAACTTGAACTTAGTGAAAGCTGGTGGTCCTCCCTTTTTCAGGGGCAGTTTTGCTGTAGACTGTTACATTACTTGCTAAATATTCAGCTATGTGTTTGGGTATGAAAATATGCATACCTACAGGGAAACAACAGATATTCTGATATAGAAGTATTATGTTTCTTTTTTTAAAGGCACACCACGGACTTTGTGACTTAAATGGTTGATGCATGAGTTATTCGATTCCTCAGGCCAATATACAGGGCCTGATACTATCAATGCTACGAGCGGGACTCCCCTCTTATAAAAAACAACTATGTGAGTTGGGAGAAGACGCACCGTCATTGGCCAGGTCATGTGACCTGGAAGAACATATGGCTGCAGGCTCTTATAGTCATGGAGCTAAGGCTTTTTCTCTATTTTTTCACCTGCTCAATTACTGGTCATGGCTGAGGCAAGGAAAAAGTTAAAAAGAGAAAATGTGAAAGGGATGGAAGAGATTGTGTGTGAGGAAAAACAAGTCGATCTAGGAAAGGAGTTTATTCGTTGGTGCAGAAGAAGTCTGATGTAAAACAGATTTTATTTTCTCAACTTTATTATTAGACTGGTAAGTTAACACTTTAGTTCAATTACACGGTCATATGTTGTTTTTATTTTCAATGTTTAGTAGAACCAAAATACAGGCAGTTACAAGTTTGGCGCCCCTAGTGGCCAAAAGTTACATGGCGTGCCTATAAATCTTCAAACTGTGATCCAGTCTAGCGAGAAGAGTGCAATCATTGAGTTATTTTTTTTTATTATTATTGTTTCTTCAGGTACAGCTCTAGTGGTCGTCTACCTCATCCTCCTGGCTTCGTATTACTTCGCTCCGTCTCCAGCTGGCTGCTGAAAGCGGAACTCCGTTTCACTTCAAATTATTTTTAAACCATTGTGGACAAAATGAGCAAAAAACTGTTACTGATGGATTAGCTCAGTTGCTAAGGAGTGAAATCTTTATTTTCTTTAAGGCAACAGAAAAGTCAACTGCGGTAGCTACTTTCATCTGCAGTCTTAATTATGACTCTGCTGAAAGACATGTAAAGAAAATGTTAATCCCTTTATTGTCCCACAATGGGGAAATTTGTTCTCTGCATTGTGACCCATCCCCTGCGGGGAGCAGTGGGCTGCCATTGTGTGGTGCCTGGGGAGCAGTGTGGGGTTAATGGTTTTGCTCAGGAACTCAGAGTGGAGGCTGTGGGAATCAAACTGGGTACTTGCAACCTTTTCAGAGTACAAGCGCACTGCTCTAACCACTAGACCGACACTCCCCTAATATACATATTTAACAGAGTTGCTTTATTCTCATGAAGGGTTTTCTTATGAAACTGTGAAGAAATAAAAAAAGGTGTATTTTTAAACATTGAAAATATACAATAAAAAAAAAAAAAAAACATTTCAAGATGGGATTGTGAATTTTTGTTAAGGTGCATCTTAATAAATTAGAAAACCAAGTTAATTTCAGTGGTCAGTTACTTATCCTTATGAGTTTCTCTCCACTCATTTTGATGATTATGAAACAAATAGATTTTCCCTCCCAGAAAAAGCTTTCAGTAGTTTTGGGAAATTGTCACATTTAAGAGTCACATCGTGAAATTTCTCAGTCTAAGTGGATTTCAGTTGAATCACTAAAACAGCTTTAATGGTATTCCAGTTTAAGCTGAACCAGTGTCCCACTGTAATTCCATTTACCAAATGTCAGATCATGCCACACATGATTTTTAAAAGAACAAACAAAACAGCTGCCTGTTTTTATTGTTTGCACAGACCAAAGAATAACAGCTACGAAACAACAAAGCCATATTTACGTTCACTTCTCCCCCAAAATCATTTATACAAAGCCACATGCACATCATATCGGCATGCAGGAGATCTTTTTTAGCACAAAAAATGCAAACAAACAGGTCAATACATTTACGGAGCATGCTGCTTTGAAAAATAAAGCATATTAAGGCCACAAATTGCCAAAATTAAGTAAGTAAAAGGGAAACAATCCAAAAGCATCATATTATAACAGGAACAGCTGTGAAACAGATTTTTTTTTTTTTTAATCAACAGGTTAAAGGCCTGTTAGGAAGCATCAGCACACATCTCCAGAATAACTGCAGGGTTTTCTACATTTGGTTTGTCTGCAGAGCTCTCCTGTCACAGTTTTCAATGTCCTGAGTATATTTCACACACTTTGACGAGGACTCATTCTGTAAAATTACACAAACTACCAAGGCCCCCCTCCCGAAGAGGAAAACAACAAAATTTTAACAGTATGTTCAAATGTAAAAGCTGAGCACAGGATCATAAAAACATCTGCATCTGATACAGGAAATGTTTAAAATGTTAATAAAATGAGCAGCACAGTGTTCAAATAAATAATAAAAAAGTATATGTACAGTCAGCCTATTGGAGTGACGAATCAGGAACATCGAAAGGCTCAAATGTAGAGCGCTGCCACCATGGTTCAAAAAATAATATATATATATATATCCTTTCCAAAACGAAAAGTTTGAATAATCTGCCATCGAAGGCAACAAATGGATGAAGGAAAATAATTCATAACTTGTGGAGCATCATGTGTAAATTCATAATAAAGAATTTTTCAACACAATAAAGTAAGGGGATAATTTTCCAGGTCTGGAAAAGTTTGAAAAACAATCAGTTGAGTCTGGAAAATTATTAGAAATCCTAGATACTTTATTGTTTCTAAAAAAATAAGTATGCCAACTAAAAAAACAGATTATTTTTAAATCTTTTTTTCTGAAATTTGCCCGTCGCAAACTGAATTTAACACTGAAAACCAGCATCCTTTTAAAGAAACAAAATACGGGAACAGTTTTACTGCTTTTGTTATAAAAAAAAAACTAAACCTTATTTTTAAACAAGGTCTGGTTCAGATATTAGCAAATAAAGTATTGGAGCAGATTAAAATCTAACTAAATTGTGCTTTTAAGAATTGGTATTTGGTCCTAAGAGCTGATCTGAATTAGTCTAGATGCCAATAATAGAATGGAATAGCCCTAACACACTGCCAAATGAGAAGCGTTATTCAGCTTTCTTTTGTTCCTAATCGTCCAGAAAAGTTTTTCCACTCAAATTCCTATTAATTTAGAACTGCCAGAACAATCTGCAAATCTAAGCATGAAATGATGTGTAGGAACCATGAAGGTAAAAACATAGAGGCACCAGATGTTTCACAGTGAGCCTTTAAAAAGAGGCAATCAGATCAGAGGCCAGTGTGATCAATGAACGGACCTTTTTTTTTTTTTTTTTAAAACAATGAACAGCTCAACAGTAAAACTGCACATCATGGCCCCAGAAAGATCTGAAGAAATTTCAGATATCCGCCTCTCCTTTATCTTTAGTGAAGCCCAAATCAGCTACAGATGTCATCTGATGAAAAATGGAAATCTCAGGGGATTCAACACTGCAACAGGCCTCAGTGTGGTACCAAGTAATCAGGGAAATATCATCATTACACAACCTGCATTCACATTCACTTTGTCTTTACTTGCTTTAGTTTCTTTTTTTGTTGTTGAAATCAACCCTCATGCTCTACAAGTTTCTGGGACAAAGGAAACGTGCACAAAGGCTTTACATTACAAGTCAGGTTTTACATGTGCATAGAGGTTACAACCTGCACCCCTTCGATGTCTCTGACTAACATTTGAATTTCTGACAAAAAAAAAATCAAGTGTTGTTTAAAAACAAAAAAAAAGTATTTTCCTCAAAGTCTGACATTACAGGAGCTTGTCTTTGACCTACTTACCACCAACTTTAGTGCTGGTGATCATCAGTGAGCTTCTTTATTCAGTCTATTTGAGCCTCTGAATTAGTGAATGTGTCAGTCCCAGGCTCAGCAGCTGAAGGGTGGACAGCTGTGTTACATGAGGGAACGTTTTCAACAGTTTCTCCCAGGTCATTTCCAGCAGGCTGGGCACCACCAGCCACACTTTGTACAGAGAGGCAGTTCTTCGGTTTCCAGACATGTTGACGACCCCGCCGTGGACGTACATGCAGCCAGCCTGAAGGAGCAGCAAAGAGTAGATTAAACCTCTATAGGTGAGTATCTATGGTCACTGCCCACAGTTTTACAGATTGTGGTGTCATGAGCACCAAGTCAGACTGTCAGACAAAACCTCCCTCAGTCGGTTAGTTTTCATAGGTGTTAAAACTCTTAGTTTGACTTTCAACTTGGGTACAGCATCACAATTAGATGTCATTTGAATTAAAATTTACTTTTTCTTTGGCACATAAATGTGTTTGTGTTTATTTAATCATACTTTCTTCCTCCGTCAGTCCTGAGACCTGCTGGATGTGGAAATTTGGGACCTTTATTGGCAATTTTAAAGAAAATTTAAAAAGATACTCTTTAAATTTAGGAAGATTAGTAGCGTTCCACAAAAGGCCTTCTTGTTGTTTTCCTCTGACGTTCTTTTTTTAAAATATGCTACTCACCGGGTCGTCAGCGCTGTTCAATGACGTTCCAAAAAAAGTTTCGTAAAGAAAAAACGTTCCTGTA